TGGAAAAAAGAAGAAGAAAAATTCAACAATTGTAAAAAAAAATTTATAAAAATTCCCACGTATCCACATAAGCATTTTCCGATCGAGATTGGCTTAGAGGATTTCATTGGCAAATCATCAAAATGTTTAAGACTAAAATGACAAAATTAAAAGGTTTGAAACTAAATTGACTGCCCTACCGTAACAACCCGGTCCGACGAGAGTGGGGAGTGGTCGCCAAGGCCAGAGGGTCTAGACAAGGAACGGCTCCTAGCAGGCTTCTAGGATGGCAAAGGGGGCATGAATGAACTGAACTGTGCATTGAATAGGAGGAAAGCGCTTATGAGATATGTGTGTGTGTTGTGCGTGAAAACTGGAATTAAATCACAGAGACGCCTTTTGACGTAATGGCAAGCTTTGCTTTGGAACTCCAAAGTTAAGCGAGCCCAGGCTAGAGCACTACTAGAATAGAGAACCTCCTAGGAAAGTGTCTGCCTCTACGTTAAAGGAAAAAATCGTGAGGCTCAGTATGGGACGGGCCAAAGCGGACGATACCTCAAGTGAGTTAATTTAGAGATGTCACAATATGGTATTAGTGTGGAATCCCATTCAGTAGATGTATGGTTCGGGAACGAACCATGCAGAAGTTGGTGAGCCTTTGACAACCCAGTCTTACGAGGGCAAAAAGTAGTTGTCAGGGCCAAAGGGTCTAGATAAGGAGTGGCTCATGGGAGATTTCAAGGATGGCGAAGGGTATAGGAATAAACCGAACTATACACCAAATAAGGGGAGAGCGATTCTGAGATGTGTGTGTGTACGCGTGCGAGCGTGTGTAAACTATAATTAACTCACGGATGTGCCTTTTGACGTGACGACAAACTTTGCTTTGGAACTCCAAAATTAAATGAGCCCAGACTTGAGTACTACTAGGATGGGTAACCTCCTGGGGAAATATATGCCAAAGGACAAAACCGTGAGGCTCAGTATGGAACAGGCTAAAGTGGACAATACTTTAAATTTTATTTATTACAGTTTCAGCTAGCCGCTTATGACTTTCGCTGTAATTTTTCTTATAAAAAGGACAGAGAAATTTTAAAGAATAAATATAACATAAATCCTAAATTTGTCACGAAAGTGCAATTGAGTTTGAAAGCTTTTAAATATTGCAATCAAGTCATAAAACTTGTTGAATTAATGCAATCAAGTTCTTCCGTTAAGTCTGTCAATTTTCCTAACGGCAAATATGCTAACGTGCCATTTTTTATTATTATTTTCTCTCCTTAGTGGCATTTTTTGTTATTTTCTTCTCCAAAATCAAATTAAAATTAGATTAAAAAATAAAAGATTCTATAAATATATAAAGAAAAGAACCCTTGATTGAAAAAAAATGACCACATGGCCTAATCGGTGGGTCGTTGTTGCCGCCGCCTATTGTCGAAAGGGCTGGGGCCTTGCCGGCCCCAGGGGAGGGCGTGACCATCACCCCAGATGTGGGCGAGGCCCTTGCCCACCACAGGCCCCAACCTAGGGCGAGGTCTCAATGATTAGATCTTGATAAGAGTTTACTCGGTTCGCTCCCCTAAATTTATCGTCAAACCCAATTAGAATTATTTTGAATTCTTGACAATCGAATGAGCTCTGTCCACCTTCCTCATAATTTGAATTGTTTTGAGTCCATCCTCTACTATTAATCAGATACTGGCGGATGAGGAGGACGCAGAGTGAAGATTTTGGTGCAAAAGGTTGTTTAGAGACGATAACGGGGCCTTCTCGTCTCGTGTCCGGAAGATGGCAATACACGCCTTCGACCTCGAGTTCCTGGCAACACCGTCGACGAGCAGATGTGCTTACGTCGAGCATTTCCCGTGCACCCAACGAGCCATCGAAGGTGAAATTGAGCTCCACAGTTTGAGTTGTCGCATGTTCTTGTAGCATTTCGATGCCAATGAGGCTATGCACGAGTGTTTGAATGCGGAAATATGATGTGCTTTTCATAGATTTTGGGAAATGTATGATCCGAAAAGGACTTTTTGCGTGTGGGGATCGATTACTGTTAGCTTGGTTCCTGAGGAAAAGGGGCCTTTCTCATTTGTGCAGATTGTCAATTTGGAATGTCCGGCTTCTAATCTCATCAAATAAATAAGAAATTCAGAAATATCTACTCAAGCCACCAATGGAGTTCTTTGAAATGACTTTTCTTTCGATAATTTTGGATGCTGTGGGGCCATACCATAGAATTTTTGTTCGAGTTCTGCAAAATCTATCTAAAATTTAACCCTATTTGTTTTTTAAATCTAATTTAAATAAAAGTTGAGGAAGAAAATAATTTAAAAAAAGCCACGCAGGAGGGAAAAAATATATAAAAAAAAAAGTCACGTCTATATTTTCCACTAAGCAAATTAACGAAAGGATTTAATTGCTCAAATTTGATAAGTTTTAGCATTCAATTCTACTTTTTGAAAATTTTAGGACTCAATCGCATTTTCGCGACGAGTTTTAGTACTTTTAGTGCATTCATCCTAAATTTGAACGATCGACGAAACAATATGCTTAACCGGGGCATGGCTTCTTAACTCCTTAGACTCAATATTAGAATCCAAATGCAGGTTTTCTCCACAAGAGGCCTAATTCTAGGCTCGGGACTGACCTACCGGTAGATTGAAAGCGAACACACGCGGGACGAGAATTGACTGAGCCATGTCCACATGTCTGGAGCATTGATGATTCGTGCAGGAGGTGCAGCGTCCTCAATTTTGTCATTGTTCTTAGGTAGTGATTGAATGGGAAAGGATTCATAAATGCGAGGAATCAAAAGGCGAGGGAAGTGTACAGTTCTCCTGGATTGACCCAAATTAATTTGTTGGAAAATTCGGTTGGGCCCGAAAGGGATTGCTAATTATGATGCGACGCGAAACGTGATCTCTCGCGTTGTTTTCCCTCCACTTAAAAGTTCGACAACGAACCGCCCTCACCGGAGCTTTGAATCGAACTTATTATCTCCACGGCCCTCTGTACCATCAATGACCCCACCCACGGGACGGAAACACTTTCCCGATCTCCTACGGCCCCTTGGAGAGAGATCGATCGATCATCGATGTTTTGCGGTACACGGAACTTTTAATAGAGGCTTCAATTGATGGTTGAGGACCTATTTATTTTGCGACGCAGCGATTAACAATTGCTATCTCTTCTTGTGGAGTAATCTAAGACGTGTACAACCTTAAACCGAGCAAATTTGGCGACAAAGTGACGACGGGTTAGACGCGCCATGCATGCTGCAAGAGGCGCGGCCTTGTGTCATTTATGAACCGAAAATTTCGGGGGCGCGGTAATGTAGGATCGAATCGTGCGCGCAAATGGGTTTTCGCTTCTCCGACATTGAATTGAAAAAAAAGAAAAAAAAAGAGGGTCGACCTCTTATGGGATTGAGAAAGCACGTGAGGAAATCAGGCATTTTCGCATTAGCATCTTGAGAGTGTTTCTTTCACTAAATGTGGTGAATTCTCACTTTACTTTTCATTCTTGATATAAGTAGACCTATCAAAATGGGTCATAGATGCATTTTTGCACTCATATTTGATGGCTAAATTGTTATATGGGCTAATTATATTCAGTAAAGGGGTCATAAATGAATTTAGAATGGTAAGGCCCAAAATAATATAGGTATTAAATGGGTTCACAACTTACTTAGACCCAACTAACCTCCATGTCACTCTCTCTCACCCCACTCAATCTTGCGTTCGCTCGCTCCGTGCTCCCACCTCCTAGTTTTAGTTATATGCGAAAGTGTATTAGCAATATGGGTCTGATTGAGCATGAGTCACTAGATTTATATTATATGGAAATGAGTTAAATAGATTAATTTGGGTCGGACTATTTGTGACACGATTCACCCATTTGACAGGCCTAATTATAGATTAAGTGGCCGGATCATGAAAATCAGACATAGCAACAATTGGATGTGTGACGATGCACAAAAGTATGATGCGTTGATTTTTGGAGTTTAATGTGAATGAGAAAGCTCATATCTTGAGAAACGTGGCTATTTCCTTCGGGTACTCGTACCAAGAACGGGTCCCACAGTTTTCCTACACTAAAAATATCCAACTTAATTGGGGGGCCACCAAAAGAGCGTGGTCCGTCCAATGCCCCTCTAACCAGATTTTGGCATCGTAATTAAGAAAAACATCTAATTAGCTCACCGGCTTTGTGAATGGAAATTTAACCCGAAAAAATCCAGATTAGCGGCATATTTGCCTTTCGAGCCGAAAATTTGCATATAATTCTACACGTCTTTATAATAATGTCTAAAGTTATTTATATTCTAAAAGTCTTGGAATCGGAACCAAAAATAAAATAAATAATAAAAAATAGACATCATCAAATGTCGAGTATTCGAAAGGGTTAATACTACGAAAAACCCCAAACTGGTACCCCTGTGACAAATTTATACCAAACTAATTTTTTAACCACCAAAAGCTCCAAACTGATATATTTGTGATAAATTTTTGGAGTAATACCATGAAAAATCACAAATTGATACATTTATAACAAACGGAGGATAAAACCCCAGACTGTTACACCCATCAACTGCCACGTGTCATCCCCACTCAGTAATTTGACGGTAAAATTTAACAGAAACTAACAAATGGTAAATTTATTGCATGTGTACCAGTTTGAGGGGTTTTTCGTGATCAAAAAATTAATTTGAGGTAAATTTATCACGATATACCAATTTAAGATTTTTCGCGATATTAACTCTACTCGGAATACTTCTCTTTATTAATGTTCACCTCCTACTGAACCCATCAGTTTCGGATATATAAAAACCCGAAAAAAAAAATAAAGGCACTGAAAATGCAAAATCCACGCATGATCGATGGGATCTGGTACCGACGACGACGGTCGTGTCCGAGACGCGTTCGCAACTCTCTCTCTCTCTCTCTCTATATATAACAAGCCCAATTTATTACACTCACTGACTCCACTCTCTCCCTTTCGCTGTGTTCTAGGGGAACTTAATGGAGGGCGTGTCCGCGAGCCTGTACCGCGCAATGCGGGCCTACTGGCGGAAGCGCGGCTACGAGAGGCTGGCCGGGCCGGGCAGCCGCCGCGAGGGCCGGGCGGACCTCCACCCCCCGGCCCCCCGCCGCGGGAGGCTGAGGGGGAGGCGGCGGCGGACCTCCTGGCGGGTCAGGCTGACGCCCCGGGTGAAGCTGCTCCGGCTGGCGGCGTCGCCGCGGAGGTTCTTCCTCTGGCTCCGGGACGCCTACGTGAAGATGATGCTCGGGTTCGCGAGCTCGGCCGCGCTCGGCGGCGGGTTCGGGTACGGGTACGGGTCCGGCGGGGTGTCCATCGGCGACGCCGGGGCCGCGGGGTTCGGGCGGGCGCCGGCGAAGGAGTACGACCGGAAGATGCTGGTGGAGATCTACAAGTCGGTGCTGGTGGCGCAGGGCCAGCTCGCGCCGCCGCGGGAAGCCGGGAGGCTCGGCTCCGAGGTCGCTCGCCGACGCCTGAATTGAAGAAACGGGCGGCCGCTCGTAATAATGGTGGGCTTCTCCCATTTTTTAACCCCCTTAGAAAAAGCAGGTAAAAAACGTTGAATTTTTACGCATTTTCCTTTCTTTGGCGTAGAGAAGGAAGTGAAAACATTTGATTTTCACGAGCAAATTTAACTCAGTTGAATCTCTACAACAACAGCAGCAGCAGCGTCTTTAATAAGACACTTGTAGCCTTCGTTTAACTTTGTTAAGTATCATTTTCGGTAATTATTCGGCATTTAATAATTAATATTCCTTAATTGTTTTCGCACACGCGGGACGGAATAAGTGGAATTGATCATCGTACTTATCTTCTGGAGAAATTAAAAGCATAGCAAATGGTCGGTTGGTAAAATTTGGACATTGTAGCGATTCCTTAGGCACTGTTTGGGAATGTGGAGAATGGAAAAGCGAATTGAAGCGAACGTGGTGGGAGTTTCGACTTTGCCCTATGTATGTATAGTCAGTGGTTCATTGAGAGAAATTTACAGATGCTTACCGTGCAAAACTTTTTATTTGCATAGTTTCGACTTATGGTAGGGTTCGTCCACCTGTCCCTTTTTCGGTAAATGAAGTTTTTGCTCGTCCAAAGAAATTGAAAACGAAAGGAAGGGGAAGGTGACCACGGGAGGCAATTAGTCTGCTTTCGCCAAGCCTGAATGCATGTGTCCGGACCTTCTAGAATTGTCAAAATGGATCATAGACTTATTTCTTAACCCATGTAATACCCATATATGAAGGGATTGAGTTGTTATATGGATTAGTCATATTCAGTAAATAGTTTTAAACATAATATAGGTGTTAAATAAATTATAAATAAGTTTACAACTTTCTTATACCCAACTCAAATTTATGACTCTCTCTTCATTCTCTCTTGCCCTCGTTCAATCTCGGGCTCACTCATTTCACACTCTCACCTTAGTTTAGGTATGAGTTCTCCTAGATTTGTGTATTAGTAATATAGGTTAAGGGTGAGCGTGGTCCGGGCGGGCGGCTCCCAACATGGAACCGGGAACCACCCACTAAGGACCGGTTCCGAGAAATTGGAATCGTGAACCGCTCGTTGATTCCATGGATCCACCTGAGAACCGGACCGCCGGACCGGTCCGGTTCCCGGGTGGGTACATAGAACCGGTCCCACCAAGTTTCACGCAAATGGAGGTGACCGAGAGCGAGAGAGGGAGGCGATGAACGGCTAAAGACGCAGCCGTGAGTTGATAGGAGTTGAGAGTCAAGCTTCAGATTAGGGATTTTATGGTTTTCTTTTTTCTAAAAATGTTTTTTTTTGTTGAAATTTTTCTAAAAAATTATATATATTACCAGTCCGGTCCAGGTGGGCGGATGGGCGGTTCCACGCCTAAAACCGAGAACCGAACCGGTACTCACTGATTCTAGTAAATTAGAACCGGAAATCGGACCGGTCCTCACTGGAACCGCCGGTTCTGGGCCGGTCCGGTCCAATTTCAGGCGGTCCGAACGGTTCTCGGTTCCTTTATACACCCCTAATATAGGTCGGTCATGCATAGGTCACTAGATTTGCATTGTATGGAAATGGGTCAAAAACGGGTCAAATAAGTCTATTTGAATCGAATCATTTTCGACCCGATCCACTCACTTGACAGGTCTACGACCCGCTATGACCGGCTCGTCATCAAACAAGCTGCAAGCCTGGATACCGGTCAAGTGACCATCTAGGCGTATATGTGTCGTGATCTAAAGAGTGATTGTGTGAACAAAAAAGTACATCGTTGGTATAGAAAATATTAGGGGTGTCAAAAAAAGCCCGAACCGACCCAAACCAAATATTTCGAGTCTTTTCGATTCGGTTTTCTTCCGGTTAGGGTAATATGCAAAATATCATTGTACTGCCTATGGATGGGGGTCCCAAAAGGGAAGTAGCGCGTCCATGTTCTAAGTCTATAGTTTGGGAAGCGTACGAGTCTGAGAAGGCAATGCCTAGGCTCATGGTGGGCTTGACCGGCTCGATCCATTGATTGGGCTTTCCATTTCTAATCAGTCGGTCACTTGGAAAGACATTTGAATTGAATACTACGAGAGATCTGAACTTGATTTAGGTACTTTGGGCCTTAGATTGCTTAGACTCGATTTTCGATGGCCAAGATTTTGTAATTTGTCCCCCAACTTCGCCTTGTTAAAAAGACCTCGACCCCCAATGTTCTTTTTTCTTTTTTTATAGGGCGAACTATATCGATCAATCTTGGTTTAGAAATCGTGAGCAATTGACTAATAGTGGCCATTCGTGTTCATGGTCCGTACTCGTGTCTTGTCGGCATAAGTGTATACTACGAAACAAGTTAAACCGAACACAACGTGATTTAATCATGTCGATTCCTTTTTGTTTGAATCTTCACTTAGAAAGCCTACTTGATTCGAATACGATCTGAAAATTAATGGATTAACACGACATGATCGGTGTAACATGACTAGATAATGGGTTGAAGAGTCAACACAATTGAATAACCCGCTATGACACGAACCAACCCCGCCGACATGAAATATACTCGATTCTTTTATAAAATCTATTTGCAAATTGCCATAATCCGTACACAAAGTTCAGTGAAATATCATCAATTCAAATCTTAATGGTGAATAGCATGAAAAAAAATATAGTCTTTTAGTATATCGTGCCTAAAAGGATTTCACATGGACCCTGTCATCGCTAACTTATTAATTTGGACGGTTTATACGGATCGATAGTGCATCTAACAGGTTGGACACAAACACGACATGATCATTAACGCGACTCGGGAGTTGACCCAAAATCGATCCAAACACGATTAGCTCCAACCCAAACGTGCTAATTTTGTGTAGTGTTTGAGTTGTATTATTGTATCGTATCACAAATTGCTACCTTTACAATCTACCATAGTCCCCCAAACGATCCATTCACAATGGAGGCTGGGAATTTCGAGAAGAACCGATATGGAGCTACCAAGCTCCGCGTTCGAAGATGGCCAATGTCCATGCGGCCCATGCCCCTGGATTATAAAAAGCAAAAGCTCAATGCCCTGGGGAATTACACCAGAAAGATTGGCGAATTAAGAATTGATTGTGCCAAAGTCCAAAATTGCCGCGTCAGTCTTTTCAGATTTAATAATACCTTTGCAGGTTGGATCCAATTTTGAAGGGAGAGAGAGAGAGAGATCATTGAATTCGAAGTTATAACGAAACATTATAGCCGCAAGATACACGCAACGTTCCTCGACCATCAATGTTCAACCTAACCCATTGCTACTCTTTATTTTCTGACAAGTCCATCCTAGGCAAGCGAGAAACAGATCGAAGTAGTTCCTTAGTCAATTTGTTCAGCTTGGTATAATATTCCTAGTATTATTATCAGGTCCACCGTTTAAGTAAAATCATCCTCATTGAAATTATTCTTAAGATCATTCACTATTGGATGATTGACGCGTGTGTTTAAAGTTAGCCGTGCAATCAAAATTTCTCCACATGTTAATCATCACACGGCAAATGTGTAAGCTGCTATTGACGCCTACAATGGCAACGCTTTTTATTCGATTTAGTTATCTATCCGATTGTTTATACAAAGAAGATAAAGAACATGGGATGCGGCGAAGGTTGCTTTTAAAAGAAAAGGCATGAAGTCCGAGTGAAGAAAAAGAAAAGGATGAAACTGAGTAGAAGAATGCATTGGAGTGTGCTCATCTTTCCTTAGCAGCAAAGGCGATATGCCGGTTCGATATTCACACAACCTATACACCCCCCATCTCCCGTTCAATGAAAGGCTTGTCATCCATGTCGAAAACACGAAATTCGCAAAAGAAAAAAGAAGAAAAGATCATATTTTATGAGCTGCCTCAAAAGATTGCGTTTAGTAAAAATGGATATTTAGAGCGCACGCCAAACTCCGATCATTCTAGCTACTGCTTAACACTTTAGTTCAGAGGAGGAGAAGGAATTAAACATGATCACATCATTTACGTTAAAATATATCGAGGTGTATAAGTACGCGTTGACCAATCGATAATAGCAAAATAAAATTGCAATCTTATAATTTATCAATTATAACTAGTAATAAATTGTAAAGCTTATGGGGGGTCGTTGACCGTGCGACACTTGTAGACTTTGTCAATGGATATGAAGTGAACAACAAGCCCGCCGCTGCCGAGGGGGGAGGCATTTGATGTTTTTTTTTAAAGCTTTCCCTTCGCTTAGGAGAAACACCAGATTTGTTTACCGCGATAATTCAGACAAACCCTTTCTTTTTTTCTTTTCAAATCCCGAGTTATTAAATAATGTATCCGACCATGTGTAAAGATCACGTATGACCCGATACTTCTCTTCGCGTATAAACTGCATCCGACGCGAAAAGTACGAGATGCAACCCATAACCACGTGATACAAATAACCCAAAAGACGAACGAAGGAGCGTGATAACAAGAGTGATAACCGAAAATTGAATCCCCATAATCGTGCTATCGTTATGAGCGTACCATTTTTCCAAAACACGGGAACAGTTTGAATATCAAGACGACAAACGATTGCCGGTCGTTCGTGGAGAACAATTATCAATGACTTATATATATCGAGACAAGTATATTCGAGACTTTCCAGCATTAATCCTAAGATTTCCTCCTTTTGGAAGCACAGTACATATTCTGACAACAAAGAAAGCATAGTACATACGATTTCCAACCAGTTGGTTGAGCAATCAATCTAATAAAGTCAGATACAATCTAAATTCCATGGAAATATACTTCTATTTTATATCCCCTTTTTTTGGTAATAATATACATAAAATATATTATTTTTTGCCTCTTCTTCTTTGGATACGTCCCGGTCAATTTCATTCAGCTCAAGATAAATGGAGCCTTTATTATATATTTATTCACACTAAAATATTTAAAATCTAACATCAGCATTCAGCAGTAGCCGGAATGTGACATCACATCAGCGACCACGCACGCCCAACGGCTAGTGAATAGTGAAGCGAGAGTGGC